TAGAAGGACGCTTCTGGTCACATCAGGCCCACCCAGATAACCCAAGATAATCTCCCCATCTCAAGATTCTTAATTTAATCACCTCTGCAAAGTCCCTTTTATCACATAAGGTAACATTCATAGATTTTGAGGGTTAGGATGTAGACATCTTTGAGAGTCTCTTATTCTTCTACCACATACCTGTTTGACAACCAGTTGCTTTCCCCTTACTACTTGTCTTAGTTATCTAGTGCTGTGTCTTGGTCATCTAGTGCTGCTATAACAGAAATACCACAAGCGCATGGCCTTAACAAAGAGAAGTTTATCCTCTTACAGCCAGTAGGCTAGAAGTCTGAATTCAGGGTGCCGGCTCCAGGGAAAGGCTTTCTCTCTCTGCCGGCTCTGGCGGAAGGTCCTTGTCATCAGTCTTCCCTTGGTCTGGGAGCATTTGCACGCAGGAACCCCATGTCCAAAGGACACGCTCTGCTTCTGGCACTACTTTCTTGGTGGCATGGGTCCCCATGTCTCTCTACTTGCTTCTCTCTTTTAAATCTCAAAAGAGACTGGCTTAAGACACTATCTAATCATGTAGATCTCATCAATATAACTGCCGCTCATCCATCTCATTAACGTCATAGTGATAGGCATGTTACAACACATAGGGAAATCACATCACATCAGATGACAAAATGGTAGACAATTCCCAATACTGGGAAGCAGGACCTAGCCAAGTTGACAGATATTTTCGCGGGACACAATTCAATCTGTGACATGCTGCTATAACAGAAATACCACAAGTGGGTGGCTTTAGCAAACAGAAATTTATTTTCTCACAGTTTAGGAGGCTAGAAGTCCTAACTCAGGGTGCCAGCTCTAGGGGAAGGCTTTGTCTCTTGGTCACCTCTGGAGGAGGGTCCTTATTTCTTTGAGCTTCTGCTCCTGTGTGATCTACATGTGGCTTAGCATCTCTCTTCCCCATCTCTGCTCTCTTGCTTGCTTGTTTCATCTCTTTCATAGTCATGTGTCACCCTTAACATCCCTGATACATTCTGTGAAACATGACGTTATGTGATTTGGATGTTGTGCGAATACCATATTATATACTTAGCAAAGCTATATGGGATAATGGCAGTGTAATCGCTTTATATACAAGAGACATGAGACACACGTGTTGCATGCAGAAAGTTGTCGTGTTCACTATGTCTGGTTACAACCGCTACATACTGTTCTCCAATCGGGATTTCTGAACTCTACTATAACCTTATGGGACCACGGATGTATATGCGATTAGACGTTGCTGGAACAGATGTTATGTGGTAGTGCGTGACTGTATCACAAGAGATTGACTCAAGATTTGCCCTACGTTAATCCTGCCTCATTCACATAACAAAGTCAATGCATTCCCAAATGGGATTATAACTACAGGTATAATTGCTGTTGAGTCGATTCCGATTCATAGCAACCCTGACTCATAGCAACCCTACAGGACAGAATAGAACTGCCCCATAAGGTTTCCAAGCAGAGGCTGGTGGATTCGAACTGCTGACCTTTTAGTTAGCAGCAGAATGCTTAACCACTGTACCACCAGGGCTCCAGAACCACGGATATAGAGGCTAGGATTTACAACACATATTTTTGGGGGACACCATTCAATCCATAAACTACTGTTAACATCATTCTTAGGTAAACTGGAGTTAGCAGGACTCCGTTTTTAGAGCTATTTTTATTTTCTTGAATCCTTCTCTACATAAGAACTGAAATAACAACTGTGCTCTGATGAATCTACAGAACAACATGAGTTCAAACCCCCAGACTTTTCTTGATCCACGCATTCTCTGTGCTTGATGCAGAGACTCTACTGGGTTTTGAAATCTTAGTGCTAACGACTGGTAACATTTTTGAGTTATTGTGCCCACCAAAGAAATAAAGCAAACCTAATCCTCTAGATTAAAGGTCCCAAATCCACAAAATTCCAACTCTATCCCTCTACTAAGATCTGATAGTTCTGAGAGCTTGCAAGACTTGTTAACGTATCTTCTCATGACCTTCTCATAGCACCAGTCAGAACAGAAGATGGACTTTCTACCAACGTTTTAAGAGAGTGGTATCTTGTCAGAAAGAAAAGCTCTTCATTCTCTATGGCTCCATACTTTCATTAAGGAGCCCTTGGCTGCTAACTGAAAGGTTGGCAGGCGGTTTGAACCCACTAGTGCCTCTGTGGGAGAAAAGACCTGGCATTCTGCTTCCGTAAAGATTTTAGCCTAAGAAATCATATGAGGCAGTTCTACTCTGTCCTATAGGGTCACTATGAGTAGGAATCGACTCCACAGCACACAACAGCAACACCATACTTTTCATTAAAGAAACTGACATGGAGAGCTTGAGGCGAAGAATGAGCAATGAGTCTGGTAAGATGGCAGATGCCAGGTGGTAGTGGGTCTTGTAAGACATGAAAGATCTTCACCCTGAGGACAATGGGAAATACTGAAGGAATTTAGGTAGAGTAAGAGAGGTGGGCGAAGGAGAAGTCAAGGCTTATTCCTGGGTATTTTGCCTTGGAAGACTCAGTGGGTGGCAGCTCCATTTACTGAGATGGGAAACTAAAGAAAAAGAGTAGAGTTTGAAGGTAAGATGCTACTTAAGTTGGAATTGCTTGTGGGACATCCAAGTGGAGATGGCAAACAGGCCACCGACTATATGAGTCTGAGGCTCAGGAGAGAGGTTTGGGCTTGCAATATAGATTTATGACTCACCAGTGTAAGGAGCCCTGTTGGCAAAGTGGTTAAGGGCTATGGCTGCTAACCAAAACGTCGGCAGTTGGAATCCACCAGCCACTCCTTGGAAACTCTATGAGGTAGTTCTACTCTGTCGTATAGGGTCGCTATGAGTCAGAATCGATTTGATGGCAACACACTTGGTTTGGTTTAGTGTAAGGACGATAACTGGGAGTTCTAGTGGAGACAGTATACAGAGTTAGAAGAGAAGACAGAATAAAACAGAGACCTGAGGAGCATTAAGATTCAGAAGACAGGCCTTCAAAGGAGACTAAAGAATGGTTAGAGAGATAATTGGAAAATCACAATGAGTGGACAATTAACAAAAAAAAAAATCTTACCCATTCCTTGAATCCTATTATTGGGAACACTTTTAATCATAATTAGATGACTTGAAAATTGTTTCCTTATATACAAAACAGGGTTAATAATTCCTCACTGCATCACAGGATTATGAGGTTCAAATGAAAAAATGTTTTTGAAAATATTTTGTGAGGTGTTACATCAGTGATTATCAAACGTTAGTGTGAAACAGAATCATCTGGAAGACTCATTGGAACAGATTGCTGGGCTCCACCCCCAGAGTTTCTGATTCAGTAGATCTAGATTGGGGCTCCAAAGGAGCCCTGGTGGCACAGTGGTTAAGTGCTTGGCTGCTAACTGAAAGGTCAGTGGTTTGAACTCACCAGTGGCTCCAGGAAGAAAGATCTGAGTCTGCTTCAGTTAAAAGATTTCTTGGAAACCCTATGGGGCAGTTCTACTCTGTCCTACAGGGTCACTATGAGTAGGAAAGCACTCCACCGCGACGGGTAGATTGGGGCTCCATAATTTGAATTTTGCATAATCAGGTGATATTGATGTTACTGGTTTGGGATGACTCTTTGAGAATCACTGTGTAATACAAATGTAAGGAATTATGCTTTTGATTTTATAGCAACATTCACTGAGTTTTCCTCCTAATGTGCGTTTTCTCCCCTATTTTTTTTCATTCCTGTATCCTCCATCAACAGATGCTGTTGAAACTTCTTTACCCAGATTTATATCTAGCAATATTCATTGAAGCATGTGAAAGATCAGCTTAATGCATCATTTAATTGTTTACAGTAATGAGTAGTGACTTTAGTTTGGTTAAGGATAGGAAAAAAAATAAGTGGTATATTTTATGGCGGGGGGGGGGGAGATAAGGAACCCGTTGGTACAGAGCTGGGATTTTTTTTTGGAAAGTCAATTAGACGTAGATGCTACTTGTTACTAGCTTTCAAAAACCCCATTAGAGACCTTGTAGTTTGATCCAGAGGGAACAATATTAGGAACCAGGCAAGAGGAAAAATTTACCTCATTCTTTAGTCCTTTCCTAAATCCTGAGAACTGTGTGCACCTCAACACTCCCCTTTTCAATCCCACAAAACAGAGAATCAGGAAAACGCATTAGCACCCCAGAGTACAGCCTAGGAACACAGAGCGGGGAGGGAGGAGACTTAGCATCGCCAAGACTGAAGGAAACTGGGGGAAGGGAGAGAAAACTTCCACTAGCTGGAGAATCTGCTGCGCGGCCGTGGGAAGAGGAGGCAAGTGGGGAAATGTACCTCACACGCCAGCCAGACACTTTGCCTCTGGACATGTGGGAAAGTGAGGGAGGAGGAAAAAACGCTGTACCAGAGCGGGAGAACAGGAGCTCCTGCCGCTGCTTTGGAGAGAAGACCTGAAGAGCATTCTGCATCACTTCTTCCTTCCTGCAGGCCACTTCTTCATTTCTAGCCACCAGCAGGAGGGGGGCGCTGGGCTGAGCTGGTGTAAGCCCAAATTGCTGGCATCCTGGCCATCGACCCGGCTTCGGCCACTGGCCTAAGGCGGGAGAGGTAGTCTTAGGGCACGCAGAACTTACTCTGCAGAGGGGGCGGGGCTGCCAGGCGCCTCTCCAATCACCGTGGCCGCTCAAGCTATTTGCATACACTATGCTAATAAGAGACCTCCCGCTCGGCTCTCAGCCGCGCTCCCCGCCCCCTAGAGGGTCTCCCGGGCGGCCGCGGGCTGGCCGAAGGTGAATACATTATGATAATGAGGCGGACTTCTGCGTCAGCTCTGGGAAGGGGGCGCCCGGCAGCCGGAGCAGCGGCCGGACGCCCGGCGCCGGGAGGGGGTCGGGGGAGGGGCGTCGCGCTCGGAGCGCGCGCGCACTCACACTCACACACGAGCATCCCGAAGGGTATTTAAGGCTCGCACGCGCGGGGCTGCGTAGATACTGCTGGATGCCGCGACTTCGGCCTCGCGACTCGCGTTTACTCATTGGCTTCGTTTCCTCTCTCGTCTCCACTTGGCCACCCCTTTTGCGCTGCGCTCTCACTCAGCCTTTTTGCCTTGAACTGATTCAAGGTGGAAACAGGTCGGCGTGCGGGAGAAAACACCGAATAGCTAGAAATAAGGAAAACTAACAGACGCAACAGGTCCGGTGCTCTGTGGGGAGGGCGAGCGGCGATCCCTCTCCGCGCCTTGCCCGGAGCCCCTTGGACCCTGCGCAGCCGCTCTCGGAAAAGGTGTCTCTCCTCTGGGAGACCGGGAGGGCTAGTTGAGTGGGTTTCGTTTGGCTTTTTACTCCACTGTCACCCGGTCCCCGGGCTGAGGGTGCTTTCCACTCGCAGCTGGGAGGAGGGAAGAAAGCGGAGGATGGTCCATGCCTGCTTGTCTCGGCGCTGAGGAAGCGGAGGTCCATCTCCGCGCCCCGGCACTGACTCCGCCAACTAGTTGTGCAGCCACAGGGACTGAACTTTGGAGGAACCGTCCTTTTTCTTTCCATTTAAGATTGCTCGAGGTGACAGAGGGTGGGAGGCGAAGCCGAGGCAGCCGACCCCGCCACGATGCTGGTGAAGAAGCAAGCAGGCAAAGGAGGGGGCCGTGAGCCGGGCTCCGAGGATCCGAGCCGCGCCGCTCAGCCCTGTGCCCGGACCTGGCCTCCGTGCGCTATCCTGGCGGCCCTTCTGTCAGTGGTGGCTGTGATGTCTTGTCTGTACCTGGGGGTGAAAACCAACGATCTTCAGGCGAGGATCGCCGCTCTTGAATCTGCCAAAGGGGACACTTCTTTTCTTCTGCTGCCTGATTCACTGGATCAGCTCAAGGCAATGGTGCAAGAGAAGGTGGAGGGACTTCTGGCTCAGGTGTGAAAGGCTGGGGTATTTTGCACGTGCGTAACATCTTGCACAGGCGTGGTTCTGTGTACGCATCGCCTCTCGCCTTACTGTGCCATACTTGGTGTGGCTGTGTGCATGTGTTAGGTGACGATTTACGTTCACTGTGGAATGTATTTGTATATGCACATCCGATGATATTGCCATCTGTCTCTATCATCTTCCCTCATTCTGCCGTCATGTTTGCATGCCAAACATATATGGAGATGTAGAAGGGTAGCCAGAATGGCCGGGTGGCATGTTATATCTTCTTAGTTTTCTGGAGTCCCATGAGATTCTTTTCCAATTGTGTGGAGAATATTCCTTGGAGGGATAACGTCTGTTATTTTCTTCACATGTTATAACAGCTATGGCTAGGGCCATAGGTGTTATTAATATACACGAGGTGATCACTCTTAAAAGTGAAATATCTCTACATATGATTTAAATCAAACATTTTGCACATTAACTGTTTTCATACTAAATATTTAAAAAGAAAAATAATTTTTGTAAAGAATGCAGTGCGAGGGGTATTTATGAATGTAGAACCATTGGAGTTGGGGGCTGAATCTTCATTGTTATGTTTATCAAAACCAGGAGCGCTTTAGACTAGAGTTAGGGGGTTCTCTGGAACTTGCTCTTCCAACAGAGAGACTGCTTGGCGGTAATGGCAGCACAACGTGGTAAAACAGATGACTTTCATCTATAAAGTATTGGCTGTTTTAAAACCTTTCATAGAAAAAGCTTACGTAGAACTGCAACATGTTCCAAAAAAAACCCAAAAAAAACAACTGTTGCTGTCCAGTCAATTTGGACTCATAGAGACCCTATAGGACAGAGTAGAACCGCCCGTAGGGTTTCCAAGGAGCGGCTGGTGGATTCTGACTGCTTACCTCTTGTTTAGCAGCAGAGCTCTTAACCACTGCACCAGGTTTTTGCACTGACTGCATGTGTTGAGCTGGGGGAGAGAGTAATGGTAGTTGGAGAATGGAGAAGGATGTTACACAAGTCCAGCAGTCTTGATAGCATGTCAATGGTCATTTTCCTTTTTTAGAGATTGAGTACTATTACCTTTTGACCAAAGTCCAAGTACATATGTAAATTTTAGTTATGCAAGCTCTGAAATGCTGATAAATCAGCATATGGCTGGAGAGCCCTCAAAGAGTCCATTTCTCTCCAGTGCTACTGATGATAATTAATACATCTTCTTTTCCTACAGAAATCCTATGAACATATGGCTAAAATAAGAATCGCAAGAGAAGCATCTTCAGAGTGCAACTGCCCAGCAGGTAAAATGGAACTATTTCACAAGGTTTCCTCTGTAGAAGAGTGTTTTAGAACAAAGGTCCTGTGTCTGTCAAGTCTAACTGAAATAATAGTAAAGAAAGAATGCAGACCCAAGTTACTTTAATAAAATCAACGTGTCTCCGTCAAAAGAATGGCAAATAAAGCCCCACATACTATTTTAAGCAGGGTACCAAGGTCATATGGGAAAGCAAAGGAGATAATCACCAAGGAAGATACAGGCACGATGATGTACAAAGATGATGTTCTTGGCTTCACAGATTGAAAAATATTCTTCAGTTTTATTACATTATTTTAATGTCTGTGGTGAAAAGGACTGTAGAACATGTTAGATTCTGAATTCTCTGGTGACTAATGTTGCATTAGAACAGATTTCCATTTCCTTCCCTTTGGCATATGATTACATTAGTAGGCCACCTTCACTTCCTCCCCTCCTGTTTTTCTTTTCTATCGAAAGTTTCTCTCTGCTATCCTGTAGCTAAAGATGACGACTGCGAGGAGATTTGTTCTTTATCTTGACCTTCCCATTACAAACTGCTGCATTCTTAATGACTTCTCAGAAAAGGCTTTTATATTTTTTTTACCACTTCTCTGTGCAGCTTTAGGGAACTATATTAATGACAGCGTATTAGTAGAAGGATGGAGGGGAGAGACATCAATGAATAAAAACCTCTGGGTAATCATTAAATCTTCACTCACAGACTTCAGAAGGTTGGTAGTCTTCTGTAGACCTCCTGACAATTTAGAAACCCTTGGAGTATTGCTCTTGTAAAATGTCTCGTAGATTGAAAGATTGAACTGATATAAACCATGAAAAACTCTCCTGAGTCTTGAGATTTTCATTTCAGATAAATTTTGTTGGTGCATTTTGAACCTTTTAGTTTCCTTTATTATCACTCATTGAAAAGTCAGTCTCCTACGTCTTCTTTAATATTCAGGAACGTGATACTTAAATGCTTAGACATAGCTGCCTATATATGGAGAGACCAGTTCCTATATTTTTCCATATTCTGAGATTTTCTTTTTTTCTGATGATGATTTGTTTTGGCACAGATAAACCAGGCGTCATGTGTAGAAACTTTTCATGTTAACTTTAGATTGTACGTCATAAAAATATTTACTATTTATGTTCCGCTACATTATTGACAAAACCGAACTGTATTTTTAAAATGAAGCCTTTTGATTGAGAAGACATACAGTTTAAGATTTGACATTGTAGATTTCCTTCTTAGTTGATTTAAGTTGGGAAAAACCTCAGAAGTCAGAAATACAAGGAAGGCACTTTCCAAGTATAGGAATTAACTCACAACAACCTTGTCAGCCTGTAGGGATTATTTAAATTCTCAGGATAGTTGGTACAGGACTTCTGATCACACACTTAGAGTCCAGCATTTTCTGTATACAGTACTCTTGCTAGCTGTGTGAAGAACAGTGTTTAATGAATGGGATTCTCAGTGGACTTAGGGAAAAGTAGAAAAAGGGTGATGATGGCACTGAGGTCCGTTTCCTGCCACGTAGCTGCTTTATGATGTTTAGTGTGGGCTGGTTATTGAAGTCTAATTTGTAATCTCAAAAACATAAAAAAAGGAAAGCTACCTAATTTAGAGTTTATCTTATATTATCTTGGAAGATCAATTTGAAACATATTTCACGTTACATGTTCATTTAATGATAAATGGTGATTTCCTTGGCTTTTTGTTGGCTCTCACTGACAGTTGCTTTACTTACTTGTCTCCACTAGAGCTCCACATTACATCAGTTTTTGCTGGGCTACTTGCGAGGTAAACATATGAAGGTGCACATTCCAACACATGGAATCAAACTGGTCTCTTGCGGAAATATTATTATTTTAGAAGCACCCCCTGCTGCCTGTGGAATAATCAGACATCATCAAAATAAAGGCATTATGTTGAAAGTAGTGTCTCCAGGAAAACTAGCTATTTTGAATAATGGTCAGTGAGGTATTGTCCTAGGGAATGAATGGGCTGGCCAAGAGGATTAGAAAGGAGATACGGAACTTCCCACCTGGGTTGGCTCTAATTCTGGTTTGCAGTAACTAAGAGTTGTCACCCAGACATCTGTTTGTAGGGCAGAGTGAGGCAAGTCTGTGACCTCAGCTCAGTTCCTGTGGACAGATGCCCATCCCTTGAAGTTGACACTCTTGTTGACAGTCTCAGCCACAGAGCCAAGGCCTGATAGCAAAGGAGAGATGCTGTATTGTTTGTGCTTGCTTCAATGGTGTTTGATAGAACTCAGTCCCAGTGAGTTTGGGTATGTTACAACAAAATCATAGAATTTATATATATATATATTTTTTTAATATACAAGAGTGAACCTTTGTAGGAGAGGGATGAGAAAGACTATTTATGGCTTCTAATTGTAGGGCATGGTGCTACCTACTTTTTATGTACTCTCTCATTTAATCTTCACAACAACTGTGAAAATCAAGTATTAGCAATCACATTTCTTTTTATTGTGCTTTAGATGAAGGTTTACAGAGCAAATTAGTTTCTCATTAAACAATACGCATATTGTTTTGTGACATTAGTTGCCAACCCCACAATGTGTCAACACTCTCCCTTTCTTGACTTTGGGTTCTCCATTACCAGGTTACCTGTCCCTCTCTGCCTTCTCTTCCTTGCCCCTGGGCTGGTGTGCCCATTTAGTCTTGTTTTGTTTTATGGACCTGTCTAATCTTTGGCTGAAGGGTTAGTGATCCCATTTTACAGATGAGGAAACTGGGACACAGAGAAGGTGAATAACTTATCATAGTAAGTACAGGGTCAGAATTCCTGCCCACATCTGACAGAATCAAAAACCCAAAGTCTAATGAAGAATAGAGAATGAAATATAGGCTTTGAAGCTGGACTGGACAGTCCTGGATTGAAATCTTGGCCTGATGCTAAATAACTTTGTGACCTTGGTCAAACTAATGAACTTTTCCATGTTCCAGTTTTCTAATCTGTGAAAAATAGCTAATAATACTTTCTTTGCAGGGTGATAATGAACCTAAACTAGACGATAACAATTACTATTCCTCTTACTATATTATATGTTACTCAACTCTAATCTAGTTCAAGGAGACACATGATATAGATTGGATGACTGATACCTGGAGATGATGATGTATAACTTGCTCAAAACCCAGTGGCTAGTTAATGGCAGATTGGGGGTAAAAATACTGTGCTTAATTAAATGAATTTATCTGTAGATCATTCATGCAGACAGTCAAACTACTCAGTATCTCTTAGTGCTACATTAATGAAGGTTGATTGTTTACAGATATTTATGTTAGTGGCCTAAATTATTTTTACTACTTTAAATGATTTTTCTTAATTGCAGGAAAAGCTTTTGGTCTTTTAGGTAAGTCATGCTTGAAGTAGATAGGACCTGGGCTTAGAAGGGTGTAGAGATACTTAAGAATGTCTTTACAGTTCCCGTACCAGATGTTTACAAAAAGAAGTCGTTTAACTATTTGACTCATTTTCACATCATTTACTTTTAAAAACTGTTGTATTGAAATATAATTTACAAAATTCACTTATTTTAAGTGTGCAATTCAGTGACTTTCTTTTGTAAATTTATAGAGTTGGGCAACATCACCACTCCAGTTTTAGATCATCTTCATCACCCCCAAAAAATCACATTTACGTTTTTCATACACTCAGGAGAAGCTTTATTTTTTGCTCTAGAGAAGGTCTGATATTTACACGAAAGAAACCCTAAAAACAAACAAACAACAACAACAGAAACAACCAAACCCAAACAGATTGAAGCTCTGTTTAGCAGAATGTTTGACTTAGCAGTAGTTGAGCCATGGGAATTCAGTTGGCATCTGTGGCTTGGCCTCTGTGAAACTTGACCCTCATAGGAGAGAATAAATGGGCTCTTTGCCATGGCTCTGGAGTTCTGTTTTGGGTTCTGCCCTTAGAGCCCTACATACAATATGTATAAGCCAGTCAGGTTTATGAGAGAGCTTCCATGTGCCAGTTGATAAAGCACACGGGGAGCCAAGCAGCCAACCAAAAGATAATTAGATCACAATGTTTCTGAAACTTACTCGTCAGTAGTGTTGTCTGCCCAGGGTCTTAGGTATATGAACCTCTGTGATGTAGTAGACAGAATAGTATTGGAGAATAAAGAATCCACAGTTCCAGCACTGGCTCTGTCATTAACAAGGTATATACTCTCGGGCAAGTCATTCCCAAGAGTGACTTTTACAGATACGATATTTTCATATCCCTAAAACAGGAGTGTTGGACTAGAATGATTTGGAAGTGTGTTTGTGGATTCTCCAGGTATGTGTTCTTTTGTATGCGTAATACCGTGATAGACGCTGGGAATACGCTGACGAACAAGGCAGACTTGGTATCTGCCTCGTGGAGCTTGCATTTCAATGGGGATGACCGACACTGATTTAAAAATGACATAAATTTACAGGTGTGATAAGTGTAACCAAGTCAGTGTGCTTTGGAGCATATGACTGTTACCGAAATGTAGGTCTTGCCTGGTGCAGCTTTGAGTCAATGAAAGTACACCGAGGTGCAGAAATAGAAGGGTGTTTATTGCAAGTGTGCAAGCAAGGAGCTCCCTGAACAAGGGGAGGCAGAACCTTTTATACCATCCCTCACAAAGAAGTGCATACATGCATCATGGACTACATGTGTTATCATGGTGTGTAGGCGCAGTAAGACAAATTGCATTTTTTTCCTTTAGTACGTATAGAAAATGGTAGATAAGCTCCACCTGGGGTGGGGATCTTACTATTCGATTAGGTCTTCATGAAGCTTAGGTTACTTTAGGACACTTTTGAGGCTAGTAAACTGGTTTTGACTGGTTTAAGGCAGAAACTGAATTACAGGCAGCACTCAGGGTCTTGAGGTCAATGGACAGGTGGAGCAGGTCTTAATAGTGGCTGAGCAGCTGCTGGCTGTGCTCGCTGTCATGACCAAAATCTCTTCCATGTTGTAAATACTAAGATTTT